CACACACACACACACACACACACACACACACACACACACACACACACACCAACAAGTGGCCAACAAGTGCGCGTCGCCTGGAACTGAACAAGTCTCTCGGTTCCTCCTCAAACCTTTTGAAGCAGCCGAGAGTCAGAGGGTCTGATCCAGGTCTGAACCAGGTCTGAACCAGGTCTGAGCTCAGTCTCAGTCTGGTTACCCAGCTCTGTTCAGTTGACTGGTCTGAGCTCAGCAGGTCCGGTGGTCCTCAGGTGAGCAGCTCCCAGTTGTGGAACAGGATTTAATTTACAAAAAGAGGTTAGAAACTGTTCAGAAGGACGATCCAGGTTTTTGAAAATGGTTCCTTTATTTTGTCAGAATGTTTTACAGTCACAAACATTTGATTAATTCTCATTCTTTTATTTTATTCTGACCATAACAGAACTCTGAAAGATGCCGGAGCAGGAGTTTAAATGTGAAACAAATCTTTATTTTTAAATTCTCATTATCCTGTTTGTCCACAGAAACACACAACAGAACCATATTTAAACATTTAACTAAATTGTACAATTAAATCAATTCATTGTTAGAAAAAATAAAACCATACTTTTATATTTTATAATGCACCAGATGTAAAGAGGATAAGATATCATGTTAAAAATCCACATTGAATCATTAAATGCAGCAAACATACCCAACAGATGAGTCCAGATTATTAAATCTGTTTGACTTTTTATGTTGTAAAAAAACTGCTTAAAATAACAAGAAAAAGAAAGGAAAGAAACTCCAGAGATGTGATGGTGTCATTACACAGTTTGTCCATCAGAGAGCAGTGAAAAGTTAGTTTTACTCTAAACACATTCTGCCTACAAATCATTACATCTTTTAGCTGATGTGTGTTTATAACAGAACAGAATGATTTATAAACATTGCTTCTAGACATAAAACTAGAATCTACTGTCTGGTTTGGTGCATTTACATTTTTTAAACAGATGAAGGAAAAGAAGAATCATTAAAAAATAGAACATGAAACAAAAAAAATCCTAAAAAGACAAACATTCATTCATATAACTGCTCTTCAAACAATTAATGTAAAAACATAAAAAACGTAAAGTTTCTTCTGTCTTTAAAAAAACAAAGGACAAAACAAAACAATAAATATTTAAATAATTTAGGTCATTTTATATACGTTTTTATCTATTTTTATTGGGCTTTGAATCTAATTTGCTTTAAAATTTACCTTCATGTCATAATTAATGTAATTTTAGCTTCATGGATGTGGTATTTATCTGTTTTATAAGAACAAATTAACCTCTCTGTGTCTGTCTATGGCGGTAGCTGTGGTGCAGTGGTGAGGCAGCTGGCTTGGGACCAGAAAGTTGCAGGTTCAATTCCCTGCAATGCCTAAATGTCATGTTATATTGTCCATTAGCAACCCAATCCCTGCTCCCTGGGTGTTACAGTTGTTGCTCCACTGGTGGCAAAAACAAGACAGTTTCTGCCTTTAAATGATACCAGGGGTGCTTTTATTTTGATAACTAGGGTGTCAGACGACTTCCTCCAATACTTACCTTTTTACAAAAAAATAAAAAATGTCAGGAGGCTTTTAAGTAATTTCAGGGGTGACTGTTAGGGGTTAAATGGCTTCTAGCTGCTGAACGTGGGCGTCCATGTGATGGAGAACACAAATCACATTGTCGTAAGGAACACACATCGCTGACGTGCTCAGAACATTTACATCTGTTCATTATTTGATTTAAAACCATGAAAAGCTCCTCAGTGTGAGCTGAGACACTAAACAAAGCTGAACCGGTCAGT